GTTTTCCACTCAACTTCAGGCATTCAGTTCTGCAGACAAAAAAAAGTTCAGTTGGCACATTTTAAAAAGATTTGTTACAAAGCAGTTCACCCCTGAAAACGAATAATCTTATGTTAACCCAATTAAATGTAAAGAAAACACAAACATTTACTGTAAAATACCAGATGTTAAATGACAAAAATTTACTGTAAAATAACAGACCTTAAATTACCGAAATTTACTGAAAATTTTAATTCAAGAAAATGTCTGTAATTTAACGTCTGTTATTTAACTTTTTTTTTCCGGCACCCCATCTGCCGAAAAAAAGATATAAAATAACAGATTTCTTTTCAGGGTATAATACGGTAAAACCTGTAAAGTGGAGTGATTTAACCTCTATTGTGCTTGCATAAAGCAAGAAGTGCGTACATTTGAAACTATTATGTATGTATGTAAATCATCTAAGTTCTCTTTTGAAGCATGCAATTTCAAAAATGCTACATTTGATTACACTGTTGCCAAGTAAACATGCCTGGTTTTTGGCTGTTTTTTTGCCTCCGACTCCTCCTTGATGTGTTTCACACCCATTTTGTCTCTCTCCATTCTCCGCTGTAACTGTCTGACACATAATCACACACACACCTATCTTAATACAGGGGATGAGTAACCAGAAAGATGATCATGAATACACACACACACATACACACACACATACACACGTGTACAGTTTTATTGTGATAAGGGCGTAGTCACAGCAGATTCTATATCTTCTTGCCTCCCTGTGAAATCTGTCAGATTTTAACAAGCAAACTGAGCGTGAGCACACTACATACAGCACTGGAAATATACAACGACTACTGCTGGTGTTATTGGTGAGTAGAAACAAACTTTTTTTTATTTGTTTTGGCTTATAATAGTTAGTATAACATAGTGAATGAGCATGATTCAGTTTCATAACAAGCATGGAAAGGCTGTCTGATTAGAAATCTGGCATCAGTCACAGTGACTCAGTGAATGAATGACTTTCAGAGGAAGATGCTGATTTCGGTTTTATGACCTCAACAGTTGAAATCTGACCTTAGTATGTTTCAGCAATTAAGTCATTTCTATAAAACAAGTGTGATGATTTGTGATGACAACTGTGCATTGAAAATAGTACAAACATAATTCTTGAAAAAACCAACTATGTTAAATGATATGCCGAATGTGTATTAACAAACAATAAGCCAAAAATAAAAAAAGTATTATCATTTGCTATTAACAAGATATTATTTGCTAGTGAAAAAATGACACTAATGACTGACAATGACAGTAATTTCAACTGTATAAATCTGCTAACAGAATGTTTACTAAATATAATAACCATATGGTATAGCTAGCTCTCTGCAACAGCTCTCTGACACATCCCGGTCAGTACCTGGATGGGAGACCACATAGGAAAACTAGGTTGCTGCTGGAAGTGGTGTTAGTGAGGCCAGCCTGGGGCGCTCAAACTGCAGTCTGTGTGGGTCTTAATGCCCCAGTATAGTGACGGGGGACTCCATACTGCTCAGTGAGCGCTGTCTTTCGGATGAGACGTTAAACCGATGTCCTGACTCTCTGTGTTCATTAAAATTAATTCTGCCCACTGGCCTTTGTCCATCATGGTCTCCTAACCCTCCCCATATCATAATTGGCTTTATCACTCTGCCTCCTCTCCATTAATCAGCTGGTGTGTGGTGTGCGGTCTGGCGCAAAATGGCTGCCGGTGGATGAGGAGATTCCCCCTATGTGTAAAGCGCTTTGAGTGCTCAGAAAAGCGCTATATAAATGTAAGCAATTATTATTATTATTGTTATAACAATAAATTGCCTTTCCCAGAATTCCTTGCATGACACTTCACTTTTTATGCCTTTTTGATGACATTACTATGATTTTTTTTTAGCTTTTTAATATTACATCTAATGTTGATAAATAATGTTTAATAGAATATTTGAATTTTATGTGTGTTACCATGATGGTGTTAGTTGTTGTTTGAATGACGCTGAGCATCTTCTTTATATTAGTGTGTCTCTGCTTGGGGGAAAGTTGTTTGTGATGAGCTTTAGTTGATCATATGACTTACTCATCATCACCTGCTTATGGTTGTGTTTTTGTCTGTGTAACAAAAGGTATAAGGCGTAGATGTTCGTAGTTCAAAACACTGGTGTATAATACTAAATAATAAAATACGGTCATCGTTTTTTCTGATCTCACGAGGAAACGTAACTATTTTACATTTTGCCAGATTAACGGCTAATGAATTTGTACAAGTTCAGTTGTGTGAAAATACGAGTAGCAGCTTACCCCGCTCCTAAACCCAACCATCATTGGGTAATAAGCAAATCATACTAAATTGTACAAATGAGATCGTACAAATTCATATGAATTAGCCACTTAATCAAAAAAAGTTATGATTTGCCGTGAGATTGTGTGGTATTTTTCTTTTTTTTATCGTATTTTTAAAAGTAAAGTTCTGGCAAGCACAGCTGCCTGTTTGTCACTGTAAATAAAACAGTTTTTACAGATTTTTTGCAGTGTACTATGTGATTAAATTTAAACAGAGTTCTGGTTGAAATTGGGTTGGAAAATAACATGATTTTAATCAGATTTGAGTTTCATAGAAAGCAAAAGTCAAAAAATTTAATTTTTAATTGTAAAAATGCTACAGTATAAATCTGTTAACAGTACGTTTCTTTAATAACTATAAATTGACTTTCCCAGAATTCCCTGGATGACACTTTACTTTTTATGCCTTTTTGTTGACATTAAGGCTTTTTAAAGTTTTTTTTTACAGTAATGTACATTGGAGTTTTATGCTACATCTAATGTAGAAAAAAAATGTTTATTAGATTATTTGAATTTTATGTGTGTTTCCATGATGGTGTTTAGTATTTTTGTGAATGACACTGCGCATCTTCTATATGTTAGTGCTTGAGGGAAAAGTTGTTTGTGATGAGCTTTGGTTGATCATGTGACTTTCTCATCATCATCTGCTTATGGTTGTGTTTTTGTCTGTGTAACAACATGTATGAAGTGTAGATGTAAGTATAGTTGTAGATGTTAGTACACTGGTGTAAAATACTAAAAAATAATGAAATATGGTAGTTTACTATAAAATTTCAAACATTATTTTTCCTGATCACGAGGAAATGTAACTTTACATTTTGTCAGTGGCTAACTCATATGAATTCAGTCAGTCATGAGTTTAGTCGTATGAAAATGTAAAATTTTATAAAGGAGGAGTGGCATTTAACCCCACCCCTAAACCCAACCATCATTGCGGGATAAGCAAATCATACTAAATACGAATGTACGAATGAGATCATACAAATTCATATGAATTAGCCACTTAATCAAAAAATTATGATTTGCCGTGTGTCGTACTTTTCAATTCTACCATAATTTTAACAGTACAGTTCTGGCAACCACAGCTGCCTGTTTGTCACTGTAAATATTACAGTTTTGTTTTTAACAGAGTACAGTTTGACTAAATTTAAACTGATTCAATACAAAGATGAAACTTGAGATTATTGTGAATGACTGCAGACAGATCTGCTGCGTCTGCTCCTCACAATGCTAGGCAACGATTCAACAACAGCAACTTGTGCAAACAGATAGAGAACGTCACCTGCATGCCAGAGCACATTCCCTGCAGACTTTCACTTCACGCTGATGTCAACATGTCTGAAAGAACATTATAAACGTCAGAGTTTAGCATTTGCCAATTTAATGAAAACGTCCAATAGATGTAGTCACAATACATGTGTCATTAGATGTCCATGTAACCACAGATTTGTTTTTATCAGGTAGTTGTAAAAATACTTTCATGAATCTAACAAATTTGCACAATTTATTTAAAAAAAATGTTTAAATAAATAAACACCAACTTCAAAAAATAGTCTGTCTGTCTGTCTATCCATCTGTCTGTCTGTCTGCCTGCCTGCCTGTCTGTCTATGTATGTTTCAGAAATTCTATTTCATTTGGGCAAAAACATCACATCTATATACAATAATAAATAAATAAATAAATAAATAAATAAATAAATAAATAAACACGTGGTTTGTTTATGTCATTGACTTACTAATTATATTTACAATAAAAATGCATATATATTATGTTTAATTGTTCTACAGCCCAATCTGTTGATTGAGAATATTACCGGCTAAGCTACCACTATACTACTACTGCCAATAATAATAGTAATAATAATATTATATATTTTTCTTCTTCTTCTTATAATAATAATAATAATAATAATAATAATAATAATAATAATAATAATAATGATAATTATATTTTTATTAATTTATTAATATGATAATTATTATTGTTATTATTATTGTTGTTGTTGTTGTTGTTGTTGTTGTTGTTGTTGTTAATATTAGCCTATAACACTGTACACTAAAAAATGATTTTTGCAAAATTGTTGCAAACAATTTATGGGCTGAAACAAACAACATACCTATAGTAAAGTTTCAACATACATTGCAACTTTTTTCAGTGTAAAAAAAAATGCAGGGTTCCACACAATTCCTCTATGTTGTCCCAACACAAATAAAGTTAACTTTAAATCGTTTTTACAAATGTAAGTGGATTGAACATAAAACAATTAAGTTGTCCCCTCGAAAAACAAAAGAATAATGTTGTTTAAACTCATTTGTAATAAGTAGTTTGAACAAGTATCAAAAGTCTTTTTTGAGTGAAAACTAAACATAAGTAGAGGACTGGATTGGATTTTTTTAGGTGAACTGGATTTTTTATATAATTACAGTAAATCTTTCATATCTTTCCATTTTATCTACCCAAGCGCCATTTAAAACACCATTACATGCGAAAATACAAATATAGAGAGCCTCCTATTGTCTGTTGAGTTTACCTGCATCAGGTATCTCAGGTGACTCAGCGCAAACTCCGCCCAATTTTTAACTCCCACCTGCGAAAAAAGCCGCAGAGTTGCGTTCAGACTTCAGAAGTTCCAGCGTCAGCGCTCTGAAACACTCGCTAACTAACCGGAGGTGCGTTTTTTGTTTTCACCCGTGAGGACTTGTTTTTTTTTCCCACTCTCCGGTTTGGTGGACTGTAACTTTCCTATCTTTGCTGTTCAGCTCGCTTCACAATGAGCACGAGTGTGACTTCGGAGAGCGTCTTTCTCTCGGCGCTGCAGCCCAACTCTACCGTCAGCACGTACGCGGTCCCGTCCGAGAACGAGCTCGGGTCGCACAAGGAGGAATCCAGATTTAAGCGCATGCAACAGCAGGTGTCCATGAGACTAGCGGAGAAATCCACGCTCCCGCGCCAGAACGGCTCTTCGTCACAATACGCGTCCTCAGGTGTGTCATCATCATCATCCGCTTTGATCTCATTGTAATACGGCAACAATAACAGCCTTTGCATTATTAATCTGCTCATCATCTGTCAGGCTGACTCTCTGCGCTTTGTACGGTGTGTGCTTTCATATTTAACAATGATGAGTTATAACTCTTTAGGACCGAAGATTAGCCTTTGATATAATTAGTAAATATGACATTATTAAATTCACACGCACACGGCTGCGTTGTGTTGTTTACACTTCGGCATGCAAATTTTTTAATATTTAGAGACTAATGCCTGTGGCAAAACTGTGATCACGTGATGTTATTTAGCTATACAGAATGACTAAATATCCTACAAGGCATGTGAACACAATGTCTAATTTTTTAATAACTATACACTGTAAAAAAACTTTTTGTTGAATTTTAGTTAGGATTAGGGTTATTTTTTTCTAGTTGTCTCAACTTAAAGTGAGTCAGTTAACAAAAAATAAAATAAAAACTTATTATTTACTCAACCTAAAGTGGATTTCTTCTGTTGAATGCTAAAGACGATATTTTGAAGAACACTGAAAACCTGTAACCATTGACCATAGTAGGAAAAACAAATGGAAGTCGATGGTTACAGGCTTGCAGCTTTCTTCAAAGTATCTTCTTTTGCATTCGACAGAAAAAACAACGTTGAACAGGTTTGGAAAACATAAATGCTGAGTAAATAATGATAGAGTTCACTCAAAACTAAACATTCTATCTTTAAATCTGTCAAAATCACTACAAATATTAAGGGTTAGGGTTCTTTTTTTTTCTAGTCGTCTCAACATAAAGTGAGTCTAAAAAAAATGAAAATAAACGTACTATTTACTCATCCTAAAGTGGTTTTCAAGCCTTTATGAGTTTATTTCTTCCATTGAACACTAAAGGCGATATTTTGAAGTATGATGAAAACCTGTAACCACTGACTTCCATAGTAGGAAAAACAAATGGAAGTCAATGGTTACAGGCTTCCAGCTTTCTTCGAAATATCTTCTTTTGTGGTCGAGTGAAGTCAAACAGGTTTGGAATAAGTAAATGCTGCTAAAATGTTGAGTCTTGAGTAAACTATCGCTTTAAATCTGTCAGAATTACAGAAACAGTAACGCTTTAGTTTGTCGCAATTCGTGGTATTAACAAACAATTAACTAACTACTACTAGCTAGTAAACTACTAATTAACTGTTTACTAATAGTAAGGTATAAGTTGGGTTTAGGTTTTTGGTAGTATTAGGGATCATACTTTACAACTACTATTGAACAGTTAATATCCTCATAATAGGCAGGTAATAAGCCAATAGTTACTATCGTGAAGTGTTACTGGATGTAATCTTTAAGCCAAACCATAAAATTTATCCTGAATTACATTTTCATAATAAACAAAGTTTGATTTCAATATAAAGAGCTCATTGTTTGATAGAAAGTATTTTATAATATAAAAAAACCAACAAAGAACCTTAACTTTTTAAATTGCATGCGTCTTTGTTTCAGTTGGTTATAAAAAAAAATCATGTCATGACTCAACAATCAATGTTAGCATAAATTGTCCATTCCCTCATAAATTATTTTTATATAATCAGAGGCAGAGTTAAGTAAATGAACACAAATATAATTGTTTTGAAAGATATTGATATGGAGATTGTACAATGCAGCGTATGGCTCGAGTTAATTATTTACAGAGGCGAGCTGAACAAAGTTCAAGTGTAATCTCAGTTCCTGCTACGCGTCTAGTGAGAGTGAAAGTTTCAAAGCGCTCCTTTGAAAACCAAACCCATTCATGACAAAAAAAAAAGTGCTTAGCACTGCACAAGAGGAAGGTAGCATGGTCCGACAATAATAGTGTGAATATCAAATGTTATGATGTTGCAGTAAAGAATGTAACCTGAGAGTTTTACTTTGTAGTTGCAAAACTATTTAGTTTTAGTGCGCTCTGTGCTCAGAAGTGAAGTTAGGGTGTGTTCGCTTCTGTAGTTTTGGTTCTGTTGATTTGTTTTGCATTCGGCCCTGGTTCATTGATGTTCACAATATAATTTACACAATATAACAATGCACAATATAAAAGACTGGACATAAAGGTACAATAAACTACGATAAATGTAATGTCATTTAAATTACAAAAAAATATAAATATAATGTAAAATTAAATGAAATAAATTTAGGGTGTGTTCACACTTGGCAAATTTGATTAGATTAAAACAAGTCAAACAAGCTGTGCGCATATTGACTGAAATATGAACAAAACACAGGCCAAAGACATGTAAATGAACCAAAAACAGGGCGTCATGTCACAAGATGCGACCATAAATAGACCTAAAGTTCAAGAAAACCTGGTTTTCACTCTTTTTATGTATTGCAGTTCAGTATCAGACATGCGTCTCAATGCAGGAGATCTTTAACTCTGCAAATGAGATCTCAAAACCCATTTCTTTTTGTTTTACATAATTAGCAGTCTTAAAAAGTTTTTAAAAACTCTTTTCTTACCCGATTTGGTTTCATATTACAGAATGAGCAAGAATTCATACAATTATATAGAGTTCAATACAGCGATATTGGCTAGATTAATTATTGTAGTATTACATTGCAAAATTAATTTTTAAAAATCTCTGAATATTCTTAAATCAAGAAGCAAAAAAACATTGTTTTGATTTCAAAAATAATGAGTCAAGTTTTTTTCTTAAGTTTTTCCTTAAAACAAGCAAACTAATTTTGCTTTTGCTTTGAAAAAAGATTATTTTGCTTACCCCATTGGCAGATAATTGTGCTTGTTTTGAGGAAAAAAAACTTCCTTTATGATTATAAAATATCCAGGATGACTTTTTTGCCACAAGCGTTTGTTAATTATATTCATATTTGATCCAATTCTTTCTTTCACCGCAGCATTTATATCAGATGCCTTTTCAGTTAGTCTTAATTAGTTTTTAATACAAATAAAATTAATTAACCATAAATAAAAAGAAAATTGATACTTTTCTCTAACGATACATGACCTTTTTTGTATGGAGACAGATCAGTCTCAAAAATAATATATTAACAAAATAAAATTCATACCCAATCCACAACACAATTCACATTTACAAAATGCAATTCGTAAATTTAAAAACATGATTCAGGAATACACAAATCCTATTCAATGGAAAAACATATAATTTTTTAAAATTGGATTTTATAAATGTGAATTGTGCTGTGCGTGTAGGAATTTTATTTTGTAAATGTATTCATTTTGAGACTGATCTGGCTCCATATGTTTGTCTCTCAGTTGATACATCTGAATTATATTGTCATAGCAATAAATACCAGAAAATATTTTGATATAATTTTAAGCCTACAGTATATTGGCCGTCTCCAATGCTATACAATTGTAAATGCAACATTTAGAATCTGGTTGAATTGAGTGGTCAAGCCTGATTGCTGGAATTTCTGCTTTTATGCGGGTCTAATGCAGGTATTCTCCAGGTTTAACCACACACTGGACCCCACGGCTTATGAGGTTTACCAGTGTTTTAACAAGTTACAACAGCCTTAAACCTTCTGTTTCAAGAGCTGTCTGGAGGAAATGAATACCACGTCTTGGAAAAAAAGAAAAAAGAAAAAATAAGCTCCCTTGTCTGAAAACGACGCTGTTAGAAAAAAATCCATAAAATTCATGTAAAAAAAAATAAAAATAAAAAAAAAATAATAATACAAGCCATCAAATAGATTTCAAATTTTTACAGTAAACAACAGTATTTCATTCATTCACAATGTTAATACACCAGTACTAACATCTACTGATCTTATTCTTTGTTACACACATACATATGAAAAGGGAAGTGTCATGCAGAAAAAATGTGAATTTACAGTTATTCACCTTATATATACAGGTACATTTTTAACAGTCTAAATAACTGCAAAATACCATAAAAGAAATAATAGTTAAAAGAAATGGACAGCTGTGGTTACAAGTTATTTCATTAATTTACACTGTTAATACACTAGTCCAACATCTACGCATATTTTTAATTGCACAGACAAAAACACAACCATATGGTTCTGTTTAAAAAAACAACATAAAAAGAGAAGTGTCATGCAGGGAACTATATGAATTTACAGTTATTTACCACAAATACAGGTAAATTAATGTTACAAACTGTTACTGGAGCATTTCTGACAGTCGAAATCGAGATCTGCTGTTGGCAAAATACCATAAAATCCATAGTAATAATAAAAAATTAAGATGTGGTTGTCAGTATTTTATCATTAAAAAACAATGTACAAATAATGAAATAAATGTATACATTTTAACAGTAAACAACCGTATTTTATTAATTCACACTGTTAATACACCAGTACTGACATCTACGCATCATATTCTTTGTTACACAGACAAAAACACAACCATATGGTTATGTTAAAAAAACAGCATGAAAAGAGAAGTGTCATGCAGTCAATGTACAGTTATTTACTGTATGTACAGGTAAATTAATGTTGCAAATTATTACTGGAGCATTTTTAACAGTTGAAATCACAGTGTAGATCTGGCGTTGGCAAAGTATCAAGCATATATCACAAGCTTTTAGGTCTTACTTGTTTATTTCAGATAATTCAAAGTACTGCAGAAGGGCAGGGTGAGGCAGGGCAGTAAGGGTGTGTGCTTTTTGGGTAGGGACACTGGGAGTGTCTCATCAGACCGGTTCTGTTTTTTTCTGCCGCCTCCCGTCTACAACTCATTTTACACTTCTTCACTTATGAAACACTCCCTAATTCACATACTCAAACGCGTACATGCATGCCCGTAGATGCAGTCTTTGATGAAACAAACTTGGAAACCTTAACCGCATCTGTTTCAGCGCCAGAACAGAAAAAAACCTGTAAAATTGTAAACTTGCACTGCTGTAATTCATGGAGCTCTGTAAGGTTTCCTTGAACTTGCAGTGCTATCAAAGACACATGCTGAGCATACTCACTTCACTGTAAAGTTATAGACTTGACGCCTTTACGGGGCAGTAATTCTTTACATTTGACCACCTGTAACTCATTTCTCACAGCGAATGGTACATACAAACTGCTGTGCATTTCACTCAAATAAGACTGCATTATAAACTCTTATCAAACAAAATGATCATATATTTCTTTAAAGTTGTTTAATTTGAGCAGGCATCCATGCTAAAAAAAACTTATGTAGGAGGGTATCATATGCATGGCTTAAAGGGATTGTTCACCCAAAACATGAAAATGACCTCATCATTTACTTTCCCTTATGTGGTTTTAAACCTTTTTGAGTTTGTTTCTTATAATGGAAGACGTAAAAATATCTGTAAATTAGCAGTTTTCTGTATTTTGTGATTCGTGTTTTTATTTTTCCATGCTTAGTTTTGCTTTTTCCAACATTATTTTTTAACCTTGAATAGTTTGAAAAAGTGACTTTTATTAATAATTTTAGTAGTTTAAAGTGATATATTGTCTGGGTTGGTGTTGTATATTACAATAATAAAAAATCTTGCAATAACCTGCCAGTACACTTTCTGTTATTTTACAGACTTATTTCTCTATATATTATGTCTTATATCTTATATAATTTCAAACAGCTAAAATGTCAAAAAAAGTCACTTAAACTGTAGTTGAATTTTTTAACGTCAAATGTCAATGGAGCAGAGATCAAGGTCCCATATGCAATTCACAATCTTAAATAAACAGAAAAAAACTTGTGAATCACAAAACATGGAAACTGTTAATTAAAATTTTTGTTTTTACAGTGTAGCATTGTTCAAAATATCTTTTGGGGCATGAACTATCCCTTTAAGTAAAATGCAAACATTTGTTTAACTGGTAACTCGCACATAAAGCCACATAAACTTGAATAAAGGTAAACAAAACAACACTTGTTTTGTTTAATAAAGAACAAGCATGGATGTTTGTGTAGACTTGCTCACAAAGGCCTTATAAGCAAGGCTTATAAGTGAAACAATAACAACATATTTTTTTAATTGTTCAAGCAAAGAACAAACCTGTTTACTTAGAATTCTTACAAAAGCTTTAATAAAAACACAACTGAGACATTTATTTTATCAATTACATAACAATGCACGTCATGATCACAAACTTACATTAAAAATATCATAAACATTACTAGATTGATTATAAACAACACTTGCTTTGTTTAATAGTCACATCAAAGAACAAACATACATGCTTGTGTACAGACTTGCATACAAAGGCAAAATAAACAAAGATTCAAAAATTACATATTTCAAGCAAAGAGCAAACCTGTTTACTTTAAAATCTTACAAAGCTTTAATAAACTCAACTACACAACTGTATTTGTCCATTTAAAAACAAACATGCACATGTGACGATCACAAACTTGGTTTAAAAATACCATAAACTACTGGATCGATGATAAACGACATTTGTTTTGCTTAATTGTTGCATTTAAAGAACAAACATGCTTGTCTGTGTACAGAATAGCACAAAGGCATCATAAGGAAGGCTAAAGTGAAAACAACAACATATTTGTTTAATTGTTTAAGCAAAGAACAAACATGTTTACTTAAAAATTTTTACAAAGCTTTAATAAACACAAGGTAACAAATATATCTGATAAATGTGTCCATTTGAAAACAAACACGCACATTTGATGATCACAAACCTGCTTTAAAAATATCATAAACTACTAGATCGATGATAAACACTTGTTTTGCTTAATTGTGGCATTTAAAGATCAAACATTCTTGTTTGCGCACAAAAGCAACATAAACGGATCTAAATATGTGAAACATAAGAGTTTGTTAATGGTTTCATTAAATACATTATATCTGTGCTGTTCTGTGTGACACTTGTGTTTAGAAATGTGCAGAATGTGAAGCCACATTGAGAGAGTTCACTGGGAGGATTACTCACTCCAAATCTTCACTTATTAATCATCTGTATTTTTCTGTTTTTTTAGAGTCTGGTAATTATTCAACAATGACAAAATATTCAACAGTGGGACAAAACTTTATCCCGAGTTTCAGCTCGAAATCTTTTGTCAACTCGTCTGGCCGACAAATAGTGGTAAGACACTTTCTTTATATTTATAAACACAGGCAATACTTGTTTAAAAGACATAGAACCAATTGAGCCAAGTAAAGAAATCTTTTTGTTTGTGTGATGTGACTGCATGGGTGTCTATCTTATCCAAACACTGAAAAATGAGTGAGGAATGGAGATTGTGGTGTTTAAGTGTGACATTTCACAGGTCAGCATGAACCATCAACCCCATACGAAAAGTCACAAGTTAAAAAATCTCTGAGTGTCATTTGTCATGTTGTGTTTCTATTAAGTGGCACCTAAATTAAATGCATTCAACATAAAATTCAATGACCTGTATTACATTAAAAGTGATCAGAAATCTTTTTGCTCCAAGGTGAAATCTCTACTCAGTGTTTGTGCTGCAAAACTCCTCTTACTGTAAAACATATTTTACTGGACTGTCCTGCTTTTACTGATTCCAGAAGGACTTTTTATGAAATGAACTCTTTTAAGGACATTTTTGACAAAGTGAAACCAGAAAAGATTTTAGAATTTTTATCATGTATTAACACAAAAAATCTTTTTTAATTTATGTTTTATTTTGTTTGTTGATTTTTAAATTGTATATTTATTGTTGAAAGATTCCTGCCATGAAGATAGCCTTGGTTGCTGACATGGCACTAAATAAAAAATACATTACATTACATTACAGTGATCAGAAATCACGTAAATTAGTTAAATGGTTTAAAAATAATGTTAAAGCTTTAATTTAAGTGCCAAATCCCACCATACCTATTAATAAGCGTCAAATAATACTTTATTTAGCTGAAATTCTTAGGTTGAGTTTATTAATAGCCAGAATTGTACCTTAAAGGTGCAGTAGGTGATCTGCCAAAATGCAAACTGCTCAGCATATTATTTTTAGACTGCGGGGAGGGACTTTGAAATTGCGAACGCGAGCACCGCATCACAACAGCAGTCAACCCACTAGTTCATGTCATTCGCCAGTTAGTTAGTAGTTGGCCGGCAGCGTGCAAGAATTACATTTATTACTAAGCCATACTTGCATGCTATTTCAGAGCAAATATTCAGACTAGCGTGGTAAGCAGTATAGGGAGGCTGTCATTGTTCAAAAGGGAACCAATGTGAATATAAAAGCAACTTCAGCTCAGGAAAGCAGGCTAGTCAGACTAGCGCTATTTACTGATGCTGTTAAACTAAATACAAATCTACATTATCGATGCTTTAGGTCCCGTATAGAACTAAAAATAGTCACATCAATCTTTCGCCAGGAGATTTCGGTGGCTGAACTACACTTGTGTGCATATACAGTAAGCCATTCATAACTTCACAATGTAACATAAGCTTAGCCTGACTAAAAGAGTTTTATAACAGAACATTACCTGTCTAACAGTAATACTTCAGCCAGTGTGTAATCCTTCCTCCAGTGTGCAAAAGTAACTCCAATGTTGATTTAGATTTTTAAAAAGTTTCAATTCAGCATTTGATATTACCTTGTCTGTGATTGTCTCGTGTGCATGTGGCGCTCATGCAGGTAGACAGGCACAAATGGTGAATCTGCATGAACAAAGATGCGCAGAAGTCTGAATCTACATTTGCTGACAGACAGTTTAAGCTACTTATTTGAAATTATGGGAGATGTCGGCCCAACAATATTGTATTGGATGAACATTTTTTTTTGTTTTATGCCTTACCCAGAATATAAAAATACATATAAACACATTTAGATCATTTACTGTAATCATTACTATTGGACTGTGAAGAGACCAGCACAATAAAACATGTTTCTGAAGACAATCACCTACTGCACCTTTAATAAAGTGTTACCAAAACAATGCAATTATCACCTCATAAAGGTAACTTAGGGCGTATTCGCACTATGCTATCCGGACCGTGCCCAGGCCCGTCATTTGAGAAGTATAAGTGGTCTGAATCAGGCTCAAGCGCGGTTTACTTAGCCTGCCCTGGCCTGGTTGGAAGAGGTGTGCCAGAGCGCGGTTCACTTGGGCTCAAGTACGCTTGTAGTGTGAGTGCAAAGCGCAGCAGAAACTGAAGACGAGACGTGACTTTTTCATATAGATTTATTAATCATTCTTTCTGTTCAATCAATGCAAACTGTCATAGATTATTAAAGATGCAAACCCTTCACTGCACGGCAGCTGCACCTTTAGCAAACCTCCTAATTCCTGCAGCACGAGGACTTTATGATTGTTTATGAGCGTCAAAATCTGTTCGGCGAAATATTTGACTGCATGTCACTGCATCCCAAACGACTGGAACAATATAACTAGAGAAATCTCCACTGTGCTGAGCGATAACAATTCTTAAACTGAACAACGCAGTGTTGATGATGTAAGTGTGCTCAGGCGCGATAGCAATGTGAGTGTGAATGTGAATTTATTCTCCCTCATGTGTTTTTTAAACTTTTAGAAGTTTCTTTCCCCTGTTAAACACAAAGAAGATATTGTGAAGAATGCTACTGGCACCCATCGACTTCCATAGTCGAAAATACAATGGAAGTCAATTGGTGCCAGTAACTCACTCAAATATGGTTGTTGAACAAGTAAAGTATTGCAGGATTTTCATTTTTTGGGTGTATTGTTCATTTATTTACCTTATTTTTATATATACACTGTAAAAATGCTGGGTTCCACACAACCAATTTAAGTTGGGACAACATGAATGAATTAAGTTAACCTATTAGATTTGACAAATTTAGGTAGATTGAACATAAAGTGGATTAAATGATTAAGTTGGTCCCCCCCAAAAAAACCCTCAAGAATTGTGTTGTTTCAGCTTTCATTAGTAAATATATGTATTACATTTATGACCATCTATGTATAATTGCATTAAAAAAGTATTAACTATTTAATTTTCTTCTCCTATTAGGCCCAGCGTCCATCCCAGTACTTGAGCGGTGGTTTCTCTTCCCGCTCTGCCGTTGAGTTCACCCCAAGAGCCAAAATGAGTTACACAGCAGGAGGAGGTGGTGGTGGCGGTAGCTCATATTACCAAGAAGATTTTGCTAGCGGTGACTATGGTGGTGGCGGGTATCAGAGTGGCGGTTATCAAATTAGTGGCGGCCAAGTTCAACAGCAGCAGGTCAACAAAGTGACCCGTTCCCTGAGCCGAATGGGGGGTGACCCAGAGACCTTATCCATGCACTCCATGCGCGTGTCAGCCATACCACAGCAGGTTGTTTCTTCTTGGGTGGCTCAGGAAGACAGCGATGGCAGCATGGTTTCAGAACGCGACGCTACTTATACACAGCGGAGCATGAGCAATGGCTACGCCGCCAACACTTACCCACGCCAGTCCATGTACTCCAACTCAAATATGAATGGATTTGAAAGTGCGCAGCAGCAGGTCAGCTCCATGACTCTGCCGACCATGAAACGCTCCCTCAGTGGGACGCTTGCTACAAGCAGTGGAGGAGGAGGAGGAGGTGCTGTGGAGCAGGAGGTGTATGTGAGCCGACAGTCCTTCAAAGGCCCAGCTCACCGCACCATCAGCCGCATTAACAATCGGCAAACCCTTCGGACGTCCAGTGTGCAGTCTGGCATGTTCGGAAGTGGCGGGGGATTCAGCGGCTCCCAGGGGAACCTGTACATGATGCAGCAGGGGAGGCTATCGCGTGCTGGCTCCGTCAGGAGCATCCATAGTGTTGGGAGAGGCAAGGACGTGTTCGATGGCATGGACATGGCTGGCAGCATGGGCAATCTGAGTGGGTAAGAAGACTTTCATTTCCTTTGAGATCTATTCATCCACATAGGTTTATGTTCAGCATTTAAAGTAAAAGTTCAGCTAATCAGTAACATTCTTAAATTACTCACCCTCATGTCGGTCGAAACGCCATAGACCTTTGTTCATCTTAAGAACACATATCAAGATATGTTAGGTAAAATCTAAAAGCTCCCTCATCCTCTAAATGCTAAAAAAATAAGCTTTTTGATATTCAGCCAGAAATAGGAAGAAAATCTCTTTTATTTGTTTTAACTCAAGACACGATGAGATTGTTTATAGATGATGCTGCATTAGACACACTAAACTCACACATAAACATTTGCTTAAAGGAGAAGACCAACCAAAATGTCAATATTGCAACCAAACTGTTTTATTTGTAAAATATATTATTGTGGAATGCCCTATTTTTAATATTATCAGCATATTATACAACAATTTTTTTTCAGACTTTAAATAAAATATTTTTAAATGTGAATCTTTTTTTAAATTTTTATCAAAAGTAAAACCTTAAAAAACTGTTTTGGATTTTATCTTGTATATTATAATTAATATTATTTATGTATTTTACCTTGTGTATTATTTATTGCTGTTGGTGACTTTTAATTGTTAGAATATTCTTTATAACTATAGAAAAGTGGTATTTATAAAATCTGGTAAACTTAATCCGTTTTTTTTTTTTTTTTTTTTGCCATGACATAGCCAAAGCTGAAATGGCAATAAACACAAAATTCTCTCTCTCTCCCTCATCCTCCATAGACAATGGGGGTGTGGTCTCACGGTTTGGTTTGGTTATGATTATCATGCCATCGATTTGGTTCAATTTGATATCTCGGTGCATCACGGTGCATTGATAATGCTTTCCATACATAATTAGATTTTTTCTTCATATCACAAGAACTTTTTAGATTAATATCTATAAATATATTAATATTAATCTATTATTTGTAATACAATTAATTTTGACAACCCTAATAAACTAGGATCAAGAATTAAAAAAAATGCCCATAAAACATTCTTTATGTTATTCTTAATATTATCAGGCTATAAAAATACTGTGGCGCATTAAACAAAAACTATATAATTAGCCGTTTCATCTACTCTGTGTTAGTATATTGTGCACATTCCTGAGCACTATGCAAGTGATGTAAACAACTTCCTCTGTTTGAAACAAAGCAGAGGCAACACATGAATACTGACACTGAGGAGAAGAAAGCTTATAAATCTCAATTTCACTTACTGTATGCCTGGTGGGTGGCACGGTGGCTCAACTGTCACCTCACAGCAAGAATTTCACTGACTCAAGCCCTGGTTGGGCCAGTTGGCATTTCTATGTGGAGTTTGCATATTCTCCCCGTGTTGGCTTGGATTTCCTCCAGGTGCTCTGGTTTCCCCCACAGTCCAAAGACATGTGCTATAGGTGAATTGGGTAAACTAAATTGGCCTTAAAATGGACTAAGCAACAAGAAAATGAATGAATGAATCAAATTAGCCTTAGTGAATGAGTGTGTGTGTGAGAATGAGTATATGGTTGTTTCCCAGTACTGGGTTGCGGCTGGAAGGAAATCAGCTGCATAAAACATATGCCAGAGTAGTTGGCGGCTCATTCTGCTGTGGTGACCCCTGATAATCAGGGACTAAGCCGAAGGAAATGAATGAATGAATGAATGAATGAATGTAAATCTGGTTTAGTGGTCCAGAGTCACACTTATTTTATATTATCCTGTTGCTTTGGTTGCTGCTAAATATTAAAAACAAAAAACCATGCATGTCATGAAAAGCGCTGTATAAATGTATGGAATTATTATTATTATTCATTCATTTATTCATTTTCTTGTTGGCTTAGTCCCTTTATTAATCCGGGGTCGCCACAATAGAATGAACCGCAGCGGATGCCCTTCCAGCCGCAACCCATCTCTGGGAAACATCCAGATACACACTCATACACTACGCACAATTTAGCCTCTCCAATTCACCTGTACCGCATGTCTTTGGACTGTGGGGGAAACCGGAGCACCCAAAGGAAACCCACGGAAACGCAGGGAGAACATGCAAACTCCACACAAAAACGCCAACTGAGCTGAGGTTCGAACCAGCGACCTTCTTGCTGTGAGGCGACAGCACTACCTACTGCGCCACCTTTATTATTATTATTAATATTACTGTTGCTTTGCTGATTGGATGGATAAAGCGTACAGCTAGAGAAGTCTTGTCACTTCAGTAGAAGATAAAGGAAAAAAAAGTTACAATTTTGATTTATAAAAAAAATCTAAGGGGCATCACGTCACTGTGATGCATTGGGTAGCACAATCATTTCACAGCAAGGAGGTCACAGGTTCAAGCCCCGGCTGAGTCAGTTGGCATTTCTGTGTGAAGTTTACATATTCCATCCGTGTTGGTGTGTTTCTCCTCTGGGTGCTCTGGTTTCCCCCACAGCCCAAAGACATGTGGTATAGATGAATTGAACAAACTAAATTGGCCGTAGTGTTCATGTGTGAATGCAAGAGTGTATTGGTGGTTCATTCACCCCTGATTAATAAAGAAACAAAGCCAAAAAGAAAAATTAATGAATTAAAAAATCTATTAAAGCACTGGTATATTGTAAAACCAGTGCAGCTGGAAAATGTGCGTAGACTGTTGTCATGAAGACTTTAATGGGTGTTGTTGTTATATTCACAATGCAAAGCAGTTGTTTACAAATGCTGAGCACCAATCATAGCTCATCAAATTAAAATGCATAGACCTGATTCGCAAGTTTATATACTTTGTTTTACAAAGCTGTCAAATGAAAATCCAGGACAATACAATCTTTTTCTCTGTCTTTCTATTCACGTGGGTGTTACATAAAGACTCATAAAGTTTTTACCAGACTTAGACACAGTTTTTTTGTCTAACGTTTGGCATCCAACCATTGAGTTAATTATTGATGCCTACAAAGATAAATCTTATTTTCTTTCATTGTGTGAAGCACCTTTAAGTGTTATTAACTGAATAATTCCAAAGTCACCACAACTGTTTTGTTAGCTATTTTTTGGCCCCATAATGGGCCTTTATTATTGTTTTAAAAAAGCAGTTTTATTTTTATGTCAGCCTCAAATGTCATATATCATTTTAAACAGGAGAGCCTGAAGCTTCAGTATAATCTAAAATATATTTTTGTCTAAAAACATATGAACAGACAGAAACATTTCAGTTATTAAAAACAAAACCTCATGAAGTTTTTTTTAATAAATGCTATGATGTTTTTTACTTTAAAAATATATTGTCTACATCCAACATTCCCTGAGCAAATTATAGCATATTATTTCAATGTTATTCTAGGTGTTTTTCTGTAAAAAAGTGGTCAATTTTATTTATTGACAATATAGATGCCCAAGATGTTTGCATTTTTAATTTTATCTAACTTATTTAAGCAGTTGGCATCAAGTGTCTTCTGCATTATCATATGTAAAGTTAAAGTTAGAATTATTAGCCATATAATAATGCAACAATAATTACGACTTCAACTGTATGTATCTTTAAACCATGCACAACAAAAGATTGGAGTCATACTAATTAAAATCAAAGCATGTCTGCTATCAAAATAAGATGAAATTGGGCTACTTAAAGGGATAGTTTACCCAAAAATGACTTTTTTTGTCATCAATTACTCATTCTTGAGTTAGTCCAAATTTGTTTGCATTTCTTTTTCATCTGTTAAACACAAATGAAGATATTTTGAAGAATGTTGGAAACATGCAACCACACTGCAGGCACAGGGTGTCAACATGATGTCATATTGACGTTGTACCCCAACGTACCCAAACAATGAGGTGAAGTTGAATTTGGTTTGGAAATGAAAATCAGGTTGACATCAGAACCCAACGCCAGGCCAATGTCAATATCCAATGTCCAACCTAAATCAACCAAATATCAACGTCTAATCATGTTACACCTTGACGTTGTGTGGACGTTACCACTGACATCTATCAGATGTTGGATTTTGGTCACTTTCCAACAAAACATAAAATCAACCAAATATCTGACGTCGTTATTGACCGTCAAAAAAACATTGTCCTTAGACATAGGCTAGACATTGAATTTTTGTCTCCAGACGTCTTGACCTAAATCTAACCTAATATTAACCTCTGATGATGCTGTGTGCCTGCTGGGCATTGACTTCCATGATATTTGTTTATCCCACTATGGGAGTCAATGGAAACAGGAACATTCTTTAAAATATCTTAATTTGTGGGTGAATCCCTTTTAATTACTTTAAAGATGTGTGTAAAAGTAGGATGCTCGCACAATTGGTGTAAAACTCCTCTCAAAGTAGGCCTAATGTACTTGAAATACTCAAATAGCAGGTTTCGAACCACAAATGACATGTCTTCGCCAACGCTTCCCAATTACTGTTGGTCCAAAAGAAAACCACTGAATTACGTACCATAGCTGTTTGAGCCATACCACAGTTCAGCTCAAGTAATACTCTACAAATGTGCTGTTTTCATTGAGAATGCTAACTTGGTGTGCAAATAAGGATGGTTACTTGTCTCACAGTTAACACAGGAATGATTCATGCTTTGATTTAATGGCCTGCGCGCACACCCACACTTGGCTTATCTATGTGTGTTGCACCAACAGTGTGTGTTTATGTGTGTGTGTGTATATGCATGTGTAAGTGTGTTTGATGTTGCCCAGCCCTGCCTATATGTGTGTAAAAAGTGAAGAGCGAGTCTGTTGTGCAGGCACACCCAAACCAGTCCAGCCACTTCACAATTCACACACCCTGGGAAAAAACACACACACACTTGCTGTCACTCCAGTGACATGCAGCAGCAGCACACACACGCATGTAGGAATGTCCTGTTGAGCAAAACCTAATGCTGACACTTAAAATGGACAAAAGTGCTGGTTAAGTACTAGCTAATCACTTTGCAAAGAAATGGCTTGCCTCTTCAACCCTATTAGCTATCATTTCCTGTCAAAGCTCTACTAATACAGTAGCCAAAGTATTTTAATTAATAGGCTTGAGTATAGAGTGGAGCTTTAAAACAATTCAAAAACAATTGTTCATTCGTCATTATTTAAGTTTTTTATTTTTAATTATTTTAAGATGATTATATTTACATAAGAAGATAAGCTTGCACATATACAGCGCTGGAAAAAGGTAATGGGCCTTTATTTAGTTATTATAAGATATTTAGATTTGCCATTAATATATATAAAAAAGCGCTCCTTCTCATACTTCAGCATCCAAATCAAAGTCCCTAAAAGCAAAAAAGCTTAAGGTTCTCTAGGATTGGCCAGCCCAGTCACCATACATGAATATCACTGAGCATGTCAGGGGTAAGATGGAGAAGGCATTGAAGATGAATCCAAAGAATCTTGATGAACTCTGGGAGTCCTGCAAGAAAGCTGTCTTTGCCATTCCAGACTTTATTAATAAGTTATTTGAGTTTCAGAGATGTATGGAAGCAGTTGTTCAAGCTCATAGGAATCATGCACAATAATCATTCTGTTTCCACTGCATCATGACTTTATATTCTCTACTGGACATTATTTCTGTTAAGTGACAAAACTTTTGCCTTAGCAAAGTCAGACCTTACTGCCTTAATAAAATAATTAAAAATCAAGACATGATCATATTTTATTTTTCTAAAATAAGCCTAATCTAGAGGCCTTTGCCTTTCATTTAAGCCACTTCTGATACCAAATGATCAGCTAGAAGACAAGTTATTATTTGTTGTTCAAAAACCTAGATAGACGACAAGACTTTTGTCAGATTATAAAATTATTACATTTATGACCCTCAAGGACTAAACCAGTTGTAATTGTCACTTTTTGAAGATTCAAATCATCTAATTGTGTAATAAATAAGCTTTTCATTCATGTATGGTTTATTTATACGAGAAATTCTTTAGCCGAGATACAACTTTAAAAATCTGCGGATTCAGAAAAATCTATATATTGAGCAAATTGCCTCAAATTTTTTCCAAAATTAAGTTCTTTGAAATCTATATTACAATTAAAAAATAAGGGTTTTATATATTTACAATAGAGAATTTACAAAATGTATTCACTGAAGATGATCATTACTTAATTGTAAAAGTAGTTTTGGAATAAAATAAAATGTAATAACTTTGACTTATAAAATGTATTTTTGTGTTTTTCCACAAATACGTGTGTAACATTTTGTGGTCCAGGGTCACATATAGTTGAAACCAGAAGTTTACATACACTCTAAAAAAAGGAACATACTGTAACCATTTTTAAAAAAAAATGTCTGATGGTAAATCATACTAAACCTTTACTATTTTAGGTTTTTTAGGATTACCTAAATTATTTACATTTGCTAAATGCCAGAATTTTGAGAGAAACAGAGAATTTCTTTACATTTCTAGACAGTCAAAAGTTTATGTACATTTCTCTTGTATTTTTTTAGCTTTGCTTTTAAGCTGTATAACTTTAGGCAAATGTTTTGGGTATCCTTCCACAAGCTTCTCACAATAGTTTGAAGGAATTTTGACCCTTTCATCCTAGCAGAATTGATGTAACTGAGTCAGATTTGTTGGCTTGTTGTCTTGCTCCCACAAGCTTTTTCAACACTGCCCACAAATTTTCTATATGATTGAGATCAGGGCTTTGTGATGGCCACTCCAAAGCATTCACCCTCTTGTCCTTAAAGCACATTTTAACTAATTTGGCAGTATACTTAAGCCTGGTTAATACTTCTGCGTCAAGTGATCGCGTGATCCACGGTGCAAGACTTGCGCGTAGCCATGCATTTATACTTCTGCACACTGTTTCTGTTGCTCTGCAATAACACTTTCAAAACACAAGCTGGCAGTAGTTGTTTATGCTTCTCTGTGTCAAGTTTCTTCACTGGTGTTTTGTTTTTTTCTGAACGCTTCCTTAAAGTACAAGTGGCTCTAATTTGCTCATTTTGAGGCGGGAACTGATGGACTTTAATCATAAGGAAAACACAATACAAAAGTCTCCATCTAAAGTTCCTTCACAGGACTCCACACTCACGCTCATGCTGCATCATGCTCATGCGGCTGTCAACTCTGCCCCGCACTCATCAGCGATACCGAGCCGACCAATCACAGAGCTTGCGCTACGCGTATATTTGAGAGGTGCACGTCAACATTGCCGACGGCCACGCCAAGGGCTATGCGTCCACACTTAGGCTCCGCCGTAGCATATACGTGCGCTTGACACAGAAGTATAAATCAGGCTTTAGAGTCATGGTCTGTTTGGAAGACCTATTTTGTCCTTCCTGCTGCAACCCAGTACTGGGAAACATCTATACACACACATAGACTACAGACAATTTAGTTTATTCAGTTCACCTGTAGCGCCAGTCTTTGGACTGTGGGGGAAACCGGAGCAACTGGAGGAAACCCACACCTACATGGCAGAACATGCAAACTCCACACAAGACTTGATCCAGCGACCTTCTTGCTGTGAGGTGACAGTGCCAACCATTAGCCACTGTGTCACCCTAATTTTTGGTCTAATATAAAATGAAGTCAAAACCGACATCATTTTCTGTTAAGAAATACTCTAAATAATAATATTCTTATTTGAAATGTCGAAAAGTTGTCAGTACTTTATATTTAGATTTTTTTTTACTTAAAACATATTTATTAATGGCAAATCTAACTCCCAAAGCTTCATCATACCTTTTTTATATTGATTTTCTCTAATGTTTCCTCCTAGACTCAACAGTTTGGACATGCCTACTGCCATCAACTATCTTGACCAGTCCGATCAGGAACTTCAGATGTTGGGCGCCGCCTACGTTCAGCATGAGTGTTACAGTAACAAAGATGCCAAAAAACAGGTATGCGCTGACATATCTGTAAACATTTGTTGTTGTATTTGCACTGTCTGTATTTTACACTGTCTGGAGCCAGCACCTAAGTTTTTAACTCATCATAGCACAATAAAAGTGATTTGATTTTAATTGAAATGCCCAAAAATGCTTCTTCAGTTAAGTACCTTTATGCTTTTTTGGTTGTTTTCAGGTGAACCAGTTAAAGGGAATTCCTCGACTGGTGCAGCTTTTCAACAGTGACAACCAAGAGGTGCAGCGCTTTGCAACCGGTGCCACAAGAAACCTCATCTACGAGAATATGGAGAACAAAGTGGCTCTTATTGAAGCTGGCGGAATTCCCAAACTCATACAGGCACTGAAAGTAGAAGATGATGAGTTACACAAAAACATTACAGGTGTGTTATATAGTCCTGCTGTTTTACACTTGACTGATTTGGTTTGATTCAAAGGAACTCTGGCCTAATGGAAACATGAGGGAAGCGAACAACTGTTGTCAGTTGGCTCACAAAAAGACACACAAAAAGGAGACCCAGGACTTTATAGTTTACAAAGTTAAAATGCAAATAAATAAACAGTAAGTAATTTAATATAAACACTATAAATGAGGAGGACTTCTCTCCTCCTCAGTCTCCGGGTCTGAATGGAGACACAGTGGATAGCAGTACAGCAGATCTCCTGCCCTGTCTATTCCAACCGTTAACCCTGCTTGTAATCTGTAGGTTTTAATCATATGGCGACCACAGCAACATGGATATAGGCAATGTGTCTGTATGGTAACAAACTCAACTGATAAAACACAAAGTCCGCCATTCTCCAATTTTCTGACAGCTCTCCCAACAAAAATGTTTGCTGCAAACTAACAGCTTTGATCAGCCCTGACAGAATCGCGGGAGAAAACATGCAACAAACCCCATGGATCATGGAAACAAACACACACACACAACCCATGCCATGCACAGACGTGGTCTCACCCAGTCATTGGGTCTCACAGCTTGCCAGGTCTGCCTTGCCTTCGGAAAGCACATGCTCTCATAAATAATTAAGAAGCAGGGCCTTCTCATAGGATAAGAAGACTCTGGAAGATGAAATTTGCTGACAAAAGCTCAAAATGATCCAGTTTTCCCCACAATTAAAGCTGACAGGTGCTAACATCGTCTTAACTGACGCTCAACACACACAAATCTGTTAATGTTGTTTGAAGTACTCCAGAGGGTCTTGAACCTTTGAAAGGCAATGGTGGAAAAGTTAATTAAATCTTTATTGTTGTACCAAAACCTTAAAGGTTTGGTCACTTTTACGTCTTGTGGGCAAAATCCAGAAAAAAGTGAATTTAAGTGATCAGGCATCTGTTTGAAGGGAAAAAAAACTGCAAGTAGGTTCTTGTTGATCTAAGAGCTGAATAACTCTTAATGCCTTGCCTAAAAAAGAAAATTCTAGACTCTAGCAGAGCAGGTTCAGTGGTAAGAAAGTCCGAAAGCCAATAGTATAGGCATGAAATCGAAATGAAAATGAAGAACTATTACAGAAAGTGTTGAATCACTCTGACCAACATAAAGACAGCAGCTTTGGCGCTTATGTGAAATTCCATATCAAACCAGCATCTCCAGATAGGCAACACAAACAAAAGTCTCAAAAACTGCACCCTTAAGTGAAAAAACCTAGTTATACTTCGGTCTTGAGTCCACGATGTAGGTCTGGTGTAGTCTATGCCATACCCTGATGTGGACCTTTGACATGCACCTCCTAAAAAGTCATGAAGAGTGCAAGATCTGTGATTGGTCAGTTTGATATTAATGATGGCTGTGGGAGGGGCCGAGAGTCACAGGAGCAGATAGAGGCCTGTGGAAAGAGTTTGACAAGCCTCAAGTCTGGCAAAGGAGCTTCAGATGGACACTTTGGTTTTTTTATTTACTTTATGGTTAAAGTTGTTGAATGTTTACCGGTTCCATCCTCTTTCTTGAATTCGTGTTGAATTTGAGCTACTTCTACAGTAGCACTTCCACATTAGCGAAAAACCCAAAACACCCACAAAGCAGCGTAAAAACCGTGGAACATAGAGACCCCAATGCCTACTAGAGTTTAAGAAAAGTTCTTGTCAGAGCGACACAGAAAGAACACAAGTATAAATGCCTACAATGAAGTCAGCTACATGCATCACTTGAAGTATAAATAAGGCTTCAGTCGCTAATTTGCCTCTCGTAGCTAGAGGACTGAGGTTACAACTCTCACACAACTTTTACCTTTGCGTTTAGACCGAAGGCAGCATCAAAGTAGCTGGAAGCTAATGAAGTTCAATAGAAGCCAGCAACGAGCGAGCGACGCGGCACGTCTTTGGCGACGAGGAGAGTTAAAATCAAGTCCACTTTATGGTAAAAGCTATGACGCGGTTTGGTGGCAAGCAATCAGAATGTAGAAGTCAACCGCTAGAGAGGATTCCAGAGAACCCAGTTCTGTGAACTTTATGATAAAAGGCACGCAACATTTTTATGATAGAAAGCGTCATTTTTTTATGGGGGAATGTAAATGATTTATGGCCCCTTTCAATATGAGATTAATGCATTGAATTTTGATGCTCTTGCCGGCAGTGCAGTGAAGGCCGCCAGGGCAGCCAGAGCGAACTTTGACGCTCTTCGGTGTGAACGCACAGTTAATAGATATCCATAATACTTCCCCTTCTAAATCTCACTCCCATTTGGGTCACGGCACCAAAGCAACTCCTATGTCTACATTATGAAAGGTGAACGCAACATAATACTAAGGGCAACAGGTTTTACCAATCAATAGCTATTGTACATTTATGACTTGTTTTAAGCATCAGTCTAGATCAGAGGTCTTCACTGTTTCTAGAGATCTACTTTTCGGCAGAGTTTAGTTACAACCATGATCAAACACATCTGTTTGAAGGAATCAAGTGCTTCTTTAGATCCTACTTTTAGCATCTAAGTTTACACGACAATGATCTAGACAAAAACGGAAAAGGTTTTTCATTGTGTTTTCAAAATGCTTAACATTTTCAAAATGGTCTGGTGTTTACACAAAAACGCTGTCTTACCTATGGGCCAGTATTTGGCCCAGTATGCACCTTGTTAGTAAGCAGTACCTGAAAGGAATTGACTTGGTGCTGGTGTGTGTATGATGTGTCCTCGGTGGTTGTTGTAACTTGAAGTAAATCCACTCTTTGAAGCATGACCAAACACCAACAACAACACTAAACATAATCCACCATTGTTTTTTTGCACTTGCATTTAATCCAGTGTTTCTCAACCAAGTTTCTGGAGGAGCACCAGATCTGCACATTTTCCATGTCTCCTTAACCAAACACACCTGATTTATCATCTACTCATGTGCAGAGAATGAAAGACCAGTAATAAATGTTACCGAAAAAGGAGACATCCAAATCATGCATTGTTGGTGGTCCTTCAGGAACATGGTTGTGAAACACTGATTTAATCTACACCTCTCTAAATTACACGTGCAAATGACATCATCATTTTTAGAGACCTTTGTTTTTGGGTGTTTACACAGACCTGACCTTCAAAACCTTTCACTTTATAACCCATTTTCAGAAGAAAAATGCTGTTGTTGTGAAAATGGACAGGCATTTGGTTTAATTGTTGGATCTGAACTCTGCATCAAAGTAGATCTCCAGGAACAGGGTTGAGGACCTTTGGTATTGATATATATATCTGTGTTCTATGCAGGGCGTTGTCTGTTAGCTTTATAATGCATCAAGCTACATTAATTATTGCTCAGCGCTGTCTTGACATGTGCCTTGGAATGAGAGGACTCCTGTAGCGATGATTCGTGAGTCAGGTTTACGTCTGTCCTTGCGGCTCTTTGCATGTCTGGATATGCAAGAACTCCAGTAAACATCTGCCCTATGAGAACATCGCTACTAAACATTAGGAAAATGACATCATAAGGAAAGTCAAGGAGGTTTTAAGATTTTTGTGAGAGGTTTTTGATTTTGTGAAACAGGTTTTGTATTCAAATTTTTATCTGCTTCCCATGCCACTTTCCCATGCTCTTTTGCTCATTCATTGTTTTTATTCCCTGTAGGTATCCTCTGGAATTTGTCCTCTAAGGATAATCTGAAAGAAAGGCTGGCACGAGAAATTCTTCCTGAATTGACAGACAGGATTTTGATTCCCCTCTCCGGAACCGGAGACCAGGACATCATTGAGCTGAACCCCTCAGAGTCTGACATCTTCTTCAACACCACTGGCTGTCTCAGGTAACACTTTTTGAGTTCCCCTTTGCTTGTTCCTGTTCCTGTAGGAACTTCATTGATTGATAATGCCCTCTAGCCACATCCCTGTTTGGAAACCTGAGAACGAAAACACATCAATGTCTTAGTTCAGGGGTGGCCAACCCTGTTCCTGGAGAGCCACCTTCCTGCAGATTTCAGTTGCAACCCATATCAAACACACCTGCCTGTAATTATCACGTGGTGTTCAGGTCCTAATTAATTAGTTCAGGTGTGTTTTATATGGGTAGCAACTGAAATCTGCAGGAAGGTGGCTCTCCAGGAACAGGGTTGACCACCCCTGCCTTATTTCAACCCAAAAACTAGCCCAGAAAGAAAACGAAGCCTGGAAATAGCCTCTTTTAGACTATTCAGCAAATATATGAGAACAAGTTTTAGCAAACAAATTAAACGAAATTCACCACTGAAATTAATGAATTTTAATTCAACAAATTGGAAATTTAATTTTTACATATCCCTTTGTACAGGAACATGAGCTCTGTAAATGAGAAGACCAGACAACTGATGAGAGAAACCAAAGGCCTCATAGACGCTCTGGTCGGCTACATTAAGAAATGTGTGGTGGACAGTAAAGTGGAAGAGAAGGTAATTGTGCAACACACACTGTACTTCTGTCTCTGTTGTTAAAAGCTGTGTGTTTTTATTTGAGAATTTATCTGTGTGTTTTCTATATCAGGGTGTGGAGAACTGTGTGTGTGTGTTAAGGAATCTGTCCTATCAGGTGTACAACGAGATCCCCCCCTCTATAGCCTCACGTCTAGATGGT